AAAAAAAATCCATTAATCCGAAAATTATATTCAAAATAGGGGTTGCTATTTAAAAAAAGTGAAGTTGTGTTGCGCATGCGTAAAATACGTGAGTAAAAAAAATTGTAAGTCATCGAAATTAAAGATCCAATAGGTAATCTAATTTAATGTCCCGAAAACAGAATTGAAAAATATGTACAGGGTAATGAGTGGTAAAGTGTACCGTACGCTGTTCCGCGGACACACGGTATAAGTTAATAGTTTTTTTTTACAAAAGTTTCACCTTAATGAGTTTTTAAATACATTATATTATATTATCTTTTATAAAGAAAGTATGTTGAGTAATAATTTAGTATTGCACCGAATGTTAAATAAATTATAATAAATAATATTACAAACAATCCATAATTTATTTTTAAATTGTTTATTGTTTTCTAGACTTGACTTGCTATTATTGTATTTATCAGTATCGGTATAATACAACGTTGACCTTAATATTATATGAGCACAGCTTGTAAGTACCATTTAAAATATTAGCATAGATATTCAAGCTTAAATCAATGATACGTATTTAATTGAAATTTCAGTTATTAATATTTTATCTAATGTTAATTCATTATTGTATTTTCAAAATATACAATTAATTTAAAATAAAATGATCATTAAAAATATAGAAAAATTTAATAAGATTGAAAATCATACATCATTGCATATAATATTAAATTCATTTTATTATATTTGGATCTCTGTATACTTCATATAAAAATCTAAAAGCTCAAAATATGTATACTACATTTGTAAATAAAAAACTGACCCGTCAATAAGCCGTCTAGAAGAGCTTGATCGACTATATATTGAATAAATCAGAATCTAAAATTCAAGCCCCTTTCTAGTTTCAACAACAATAACAAACTCTACCGAGTACATGCAGCAGTAGTTATTGGGTAAAACCTATTAAAGCTTGACGTTGATGTATTTGCATGTTTTTATATCGAGTGGTGTAAAAAGTGGCAAAATAAATTAGCTACTGCAAACTTAAATATAGCTAACATCGGTGGACATAAGTCACGCCCATTTTATTTTTTATCCGTAAATTATACACTTCAAGGTTTTAAACCATATTGTACCTTTAGGTAATCGGATTTAAAAGCATCTTATCTTACACATGTCAATGATTATACTTTTTTATTTTCATGGAATATGTTTTATAAGAAACGTTGCTAATGGCAGTTATTTAGAAGGTTTATAATTTATTTTAGGTACTGTAAATTTAAAAATATATGTGATTAACTGCAGTTAAAACTTTTAGCGAACGACAAAATAATAAATAGTATTCGTTTAATTATTTTTGAGTATTGGACAACAATTTTTTTAAAACTGGGAAATATAAATTGTTGATGAAAAAACATACATCATGCATTTATGACGCATCTCCTGCGGGATTTTGACAATCATTACGTTATTTGTGTTCAGTAAAACGTGGTCCATAATAGAAAACCTTTAGCACAATGACGTATAATAATATAGTATTAGATATTCGGGGTGGCTCCAGGGGGAGATAGAGCCCCAAAGTTCGTATCTTTAAAAAAAAAAAATTGTATATTGATAAAAACAAAATAACAAAAAAAAACATATTTTAGTCTCTTAAGTTTTCTGAAAGTTATAACTGACCCTCCTCTCTCCAAGCAAGTATCAGAAGCCCATTTTAGGTAGCTTTATCATATTATAACATAACTATAATAATATATTACATTTTTTCGCGGTCATCAAACGCCACAATTTTGAAAGTCGGTCAAAGAATAATTATTCTAATATTGAATAAAGACGTTTGCGTACGCGTTTCGAGCACCTACACAAGAATACACATTACACACTTAATAATGGTTAGGTAACTTCAACGTACATACTCATCGACAGTCTGCTGGCAGTTGAGTGAAAAGTCGTCGGTGTCGCCACGCACGATATCGTTGCGGCACAATTTTAAACAACTTCTGCACCAGCACCAGGCAACTAACTACCCAGTACCCACCCTGTACCATGAAGGTACCTAACCCGAGACATAGTCATAAAGCCACTCGAAATCGGCCGGCGCGGACGCGACCATTTGGAAATCCCGTCGAGGGCACGTTCCGCCGCCGTCGCCATCCAAGTACAACAAAATAAATTAGATTATTTTATATTATATTAGGCGTAAATGTAATATAACTACGCAGAGGTAATAATATAGTATTATTAAATCATCTGGTCTGCATGATTAGCATAAACAGCAACAACGGTTTTACTCGCTCGCGCACTATATATTTTGACACTCGACGTTTTTAATGCCTATCAACCAGACACCACTACAGTGCTACACACACACACACATACACACATACACAGATTATATAGTTTATATTGCCATAAACTATATATGTGAGCAGAGAGGCGGTATACCTACCAACAACCGGTGAATTATTACGGTGTTTAATTCGGACCCGCCGGTGCTGATTTTAGCACTTTTCGTAACGGCGTGTGAAACGGCCGTGTAAAATTGTTAAGCCCCCGAAAACTTGTTTGTACTATTTTTTTCACGTTCCAAACACGTACCTATATCAGTAACGGTCGACGCCATGCTCTTGGCACGCAGCATTGTTACTGCATGTGTACAC